TCAATAAATAAAAGTTTTATTTCAATCATATCAATGTTTTTGGGCGGGAAATTTGGGGGTGTTACAAATTGGTATCAGAGCCAGGTTGTTTTCTGGGAGATTTTTTCAAAGTGGTTTTTCAAAAAGTTTTCTAAATAAAATTTAAAAAAAAAAATAAATAGGAAAAAGAGAATGATTAGGAAAAGGCGTATTAGGAACGAAGGTGAGGATTGTGAGATTTTAAAGTTGTTGATCTGTATGATTGAGTTGTGAAAATTCATGAAGTTACTTGCTTATCTGAAGTATGTGGAGTTAGATAGCTTGCTTGAATGTTTATATGAAATAGAACTTGAGTATGACCTTAGTGAAGGACTTGTATGTTTAAGATAATGTAGAGACCTTATGAATGTCATAGTACGTACTTCAAGAGTTGTGAGATTAAAGGTTAAGTGGTCAAAATGGTGTAAGTGTTATAGTCAAATTGTTTGACCGAGGATGCTACTTAAGAGACCAAAGATGATATTACAATTTGGAGTAATTTCACTTAGATAGTATTTTAGTTACGGGGACGTAACCTCTCTTTAAGGAGGGTGGAATGAAATACTTAAGAATTTTGTCATTTGACTTTAGTTTAAGCTTTGGGACTAGGCATCTCTTAAAGGGGGATAGATTAAAACACCACTATTAATACAACAGTTGTAGCTTATGCTTCGAGGACAAAACTTCTTATAAGAGGGATAGAATGTAAAGCCTTAAAATTTCAAAGTTATGCTTCGGGGACGAAGCATCTTTTAAGGGGGTAATAATGTGACACCTCAAAAATGTAGAAATAAGAATAAACAGACATAATTTGTCTAACAAAAATAAAGCAAATATATAATCTATATCTGACGTAAAATAAAATGAAAGTAAAGACATAAAATAAAATAGACTAGATATAATTTATCTGATAAAAATAGACTAGATATAATTTATCTGGAAAAAAAAATAGTAGAGATGAAAGTAAAGAGATAAAGTAGTACATACCCATATAACTATTATGTAGTCTATATGAGTAACGTAACTTTATAATTAAATAATAATAATATACGTAGGTAGTACTTCTATGCTATACACATACCTGACATACGCATACGTTATACATACACACATACCCTACATACATCATGCGCATGCAAACGAAGGGATGGTAACGGCTTAAATGAAATTTAATACGGGAGAAATGGTAACGGCTGAACCGAGGGCCTTCGATCACTTATATAAATAAACAGCTGCCATCGACCTATGGGGCAACTCAAACAAACAACCATAGTTATACGTGAGAGGAAGAAGGGGAAACAAACGGAGCTCGCCGGTGATCGAAGCAAGAACTGCCGGAGTTATCAGCGTCGCCGGAGCAATATTATCACGCCGGAGTGTCACCACAGGCATTACTCGCTGGAGGAAGAAGGAAAGCCGCCAGGCCGTAGTGTTGACGGGCTGTTTTGCACGCCGGAGAAGGAAGGAGAGACTGCCGTTCTGCGTCGCCACTATCTATTCGCCCACATCGCCGCCGTCCTTCCTTACCGTTTCGAGGAGACTAGAATACCGGAGTAAGGATCACCGCGGCAACAGTTGATCCTTGTTCGTCCTTGTGTCGCCGACCGTGGAAGAAAACAACAGTAGGTAAACTTGTACTCCGTTTTAGACCTGGGCTAGCTGATTGGACTAATCACCATAATAATAATAGTAATGATAATAACGTTACTAATCTGCAAAATGGATTTATTAGAGATGAGAAATGCTAAATGATGAAATGAATTGATGGTTTAAGTAATATACGATTATCATATTAAGTATTACCGTAATTAGAGTAAATAATGTTGGATAGATATTATTTTCACTAATTATTGGAGTAATTGAAGTAGATTAATAAAATTAACATAATGACGGACTCGGAAATGCTAAGAGTGTGATTAGACTGAGTAATGATGATTAGTTAGTTTAAATAACTTTTATAATATTCAGATGTATTATTAATGTCGATTAAAGCAATCATGAAATCTGAATATTTTAATATAATTCCGATATTAAGATGTTTACTGGATTATGATAAAAGATTATGATGAACTGAATTAGTTAATTAGTTAATACCTTTTTTTTCCGACCAGATTAAAAGTAATGAAGGGTTATGGTATTAATTACTGAATTAGTTTAAAATAGGATAAATAATACGAAGTATGAGATAGTTGTTAAGTAGAAAGATATTTATAATAAACTATAACCGAAGTAGTTCGAATATGGTATAATTCATATGTTAATAATAATAGTATTAAATTATAGTTAATTAATTTGATGTAGAATAAATTGATGGTGACTAATTAAATTAAAATTTGGTTATTTTAATACATGTCGGTTATTATTAGAGTAAATATAGACTCCAAATATTAGAGATCATGGCTGAAGTACTAAAATGATTTGATTCATAAAAAAATGATTAACTCGAATAGTTATTTCGTTAAATTAATAAGTTCGCATAAAAGAGAAAAATTGGATAAATTATTAAAAATACAAAGAAATGACTAATTAAATCATCTTAATTCAAAAGGTGAATATTTAGCGACCGGAATAGAAGAGGAGAACTAGGGGCGTCAGGACCTACGGTAAGTTTCTCTGCCAATCCAAAATCGTTTCCTCGTATTATATATGTAATATGTGATACATGATTTTAATGTGAGTTATGATGTATTTGTATGAGATTTTGAGATTGTTCGATCTGTGATATTTGAGAAGTGAAACTAAGTGCTTTTGGGTATTAAATATTTTATTTAAAACATTTTTGAGGCAGTTTGAGAAATTGAGGAATATTTTGAAGTATATTAATTCAAGATAAAAGAATGATTTCATAAGAGGTAGGCATCTCGGGAGTAATCCGAGGTGTTGGTTTTCCACGTCCCTTAAAATGTGGAGAGTGGTTAGGGCTACTACTAAGAAGAGATTTTTGAGTAACTTTCGGATCGATGATCCCTTTTAAGAAGGAGAGTTGTGGTAGCAGTAGTAGTTCCGACGTAAAAGGGTTGCTACTGCTAAGGGTGAGGATAAGTTTTGAGTGATAATTGGATCGATGATCCCTTTTAAGAAGCAGAGTTGTAGTAGTAGTCCCTAATCATTCAAAGATATCTTATTCAGGGGTAGTTGGTAGACTGAGTCCCGATTACTCGTGACGACTTACTACTCGGAGGGCTTGGAATCCCTTTTAGGGGGTGTGCACACTTAAGGTAGTCGTTTCGTTTCCACAAGAGCAGTTGTGGTACCGGCATTGTTCGGGGTGGCCGTCCGTAACCACGGTTCACCGGGCTCAGCCGAAAGGTCGAGCACCGCCCTTCTAAATTACTAGGAAGATAGAGAAGAAGTGAATTTTGAGAAATTCTAAGAGAAGAGTTACTATAGTATTTTCAAAGAAATGTTGAGGACTTTAGTAAAGAAGTGATTTTGAGAAATATCAAAGAGAAAAGAATTTCGGTGGAGTGAGTTATTTTTATATAATATTATATAAAAATCTATTTTAGTCAAACATGATTATTTTACGGGGTTGGGTAGTACTTACTTAGCTCTAAAGCTAATTTTTGTTTCCTCTTCCTTGTTTTGTTTCTGCACTTTATTTGTGCAGGTGATGGTGATTATGTTGATTGTTGAGTGCACGCGCCTGAGAGCGAGTTAGAAGTTGCCTTAGTTAAATTTAGTCTTGAAACAAACATTTATTTATTTAGTTTTATTGTTTTGTTTTAGTTGCCTGTGCATCCGGTTGAGAGATGACCGGATGTGGCGGTAACACCCATTTCCCTATTAAGACTTCCGCTGTATTTTTCAAATGACTTTATCAATAAATAAAAGTTTTATTTCAATCATATCAATGTTTTTGGGCGGGAAATTTGGGGGTGTTACAAATATTGTAATACTCGAGATTAATTTAAGAGGATTAATAGTACTACTCATACCAACAGAGGTGCATCTCCTTTTAAGGGAGCTCATTACACAAGAACTCCAAAGTTAAGCGTGCTTGCACGAGAGTAGTCTTGGGATGGGTGACCCCCTGGGAAGTTTCTCAGGGCGCGCATGAGTGAGGACAAAGTGCGCGGTAAAGGCTCGTGGTGGTTTGTGGGGACAGTACTATTTGTCCGGAGTAACTACCTCGGGTCCGGTGGGGCCGGGGTGTTACAAATGGTATCAGAGCAACCCTGCGACAGTGTGCTGATCCGTTGGATATCGGGCAGACACCTAGCAGGGGAAAAGATTCTGGGGTGTGATTGAGATTGGTTTAAGGGCGCAACGAGGACGTTGCGATCCTAAGTGGGGGTGATTGTAATACCCGAGATTAATATAAGAGGATTAATAGTACTACTCATACCAACAAGGTGCATCTCCTTTTAAGGGAGCTCATTAGCCAAGAACTCCAAAGTTAAGCGTGCTTGCACGGGAGTAGTCTTGGGATGGGTGACCACATGGGAAGTTTCTCAGGGCACGCACGAGTGAGGACAAAGTGCGCGTAAAAGGCTAGTGGCGGTTTGTGAGGACAGTACTATTGGTCCGGAGTAACTACCTCGGGTCCGGTGGGGCCGCGGTGTTACAAATGGTATCAGAGCAACCCTGCGACAGTGTGCTGATCCGTTGGATATCGGGCAGACACCTAGCAGGGGAAAAGTTTTTGGGATTTGATTGAGATTGGTTTAAGGGCGCAACGAGGACGTTGCGATCCTAAGTGGGGGTGATTGTAATACTCGAGATTAATTTAAGAGGATTAATAGTACTACTCATACCAACAGAGGTGCATCTCCTTTTAAGGGAGCTCATTACACAAGAACTCCAAAGTTAAGCGTGCTTGCACGAGAGTAGTCTTGGGATGGGTGACCCCCTGGGAAGTTTCTCAGGGCGCGCATGAGTGAGGACAAAGTGCGCGGTAAAGGCTCGTGGTGGTTTGTGGGGACAGTACTATTTGTCCGGAGTAACTACCTCGGGTCCTGTGGGGCCGGGGTGTTACATGATGAAGGTCAGAAAACTCTGGCCGAGGCGGGTCTGAAACCACAGGCCCCAAAGAAGACGAAGAGGGTTCCAACGACTGATGAGGCCGGCGCTCCTTCTCAGGCTGTCGTGGATGTCCAGCCCCCGGTGGTCCCTCCCGTGAATGAGCCACCCTCCTCGGCCGTGGTGGCTTCGGCTTCTCGCGTGCTTCCCTCTACGGCTGCTGCTGCCCGTCTAGAGGAGGCCCTTGCCAAAGGGACGTACGAGGTAACAGTGCGTTACCCTGTGAAGGGCGGTCTTTTTAACGAGACCGTCGGTGGCGACGACGTGCTTGCTCAGGCTATGCCTGAGTATGATCGTCAGTACCTCGGCCGACAAGGCCAACATGTTCGGCTGTACGACGGAGGGATAGACTACGTCGTCCAGGTAAGACATTTTCCTCTATAACTTTTCCTTTGCTTTTGTTTTTTCATCTCTAACTTCGTCTTGCTCCGTCCAGGGTGCCCTTATGCTGAGGGAGCAGCATTGGAGGCAGGAAGCCGAGATAGAGCGGCTGAAGAAGATGGAGGCCAAAGCTGCTTCAGCCGATGAGGCCCTTCAAGATCTGAGGGACAAGGCCAAGGCTGCGGAGGATGAAATGAAGCTCCTTCAGATGCGCCTTGATGAGGCCGAGGCTGCCCGGAAGAAAGCTGATGAGGCCGTTGCCGCTGCTACCCGAAGAGCTGAGGAGGCGGAGTGCCTCAAAGCTGACGCTGAGAAGGCCGCCGAGGAGGCCGTAGTGAATTTCAAGGCCGAGGGGTGGAAAGCCGAAGATCAGGTCCCCTTCTGCTATGAAGTGGTGGCCGAGAGGCTCACTGATTGGGTGACAAAGGACCCTGCTGGCGAGGACTTCTGGATGAACGAGACGCGAGCCTTCTACAACTGCGGCCAGTACAGGATGCAGAGGCTGATTTATAGGAAGCTTCGTCGTCGCTTCCGGAAGATGAGGCCGAGGGGTTTGAGCCTACCCCGGCGGATGAGAAATCCTGATGAGGATATGAAGCTCCCCCCGTCGGAGAGGCAGCCTCCGATTCTCAGTTCGGACGAGGGGGAAGCGTCCTGGAGTGAAAGTGACGATTATCTGCTTGAGGGCTCAGCCGATTCCAAGGCCGATGAAGGTGATGACGCCGAAACCAGTAGCGGTGGCGGGGAGGACGTCGGCCAGAGCAAAGAGCAAGCCGATGAGGCAGCGTAGTTTTGTAGGCTTTTTTATTTTGTAATTTTAGCATCGAAGTGCATGTAACGGCCGAAGCGCCCACCTTTTGTATCTTTTCATCCATTAATGATAATCTTTTTGTCACCATGATCCCCTCGTCGTCTTTGTAGTTAAGTATGTTTGCTCTTGTAAAATTTTCTAAGTGTCAAGGCTCTGTCTCGAGGTTGTTGGTGTCCCTTGATTGAGACGTAGCGATTTTTCCGCCTTTACTGTCATTGGGGCCGATGCGTCTCCTCGTCCCTTAGTGAATTTTTATTTTCTCCTTGGCCCATCTTGTCCACGCCTCAAGTTTTGGGGCTTAGTCTTGAAGTGTCGAGGACGAAGCGGTACCCAGATATAGAATGGTAACGCATCGTCTCTCTTGTAGTGTGATTTAGATAATGTTCTAAGTGTAAAGCTTGCCTTGATGGAGCTGTTTTACCTTGGCTTGTTCACTTGGGTTTTGCTACGCGGAGATGGTGCGTCCCATCGTCCAAGTAATGGACCGCGGTTTTGTATAACCGAAACCGAAGCGATTCCCTTTTGTGAGGTTATGATTGAAGCATGCGCTTCGGATCTCTGTGTAGTGAAAACCTGATATGTACTTAATCAATTTTGAGGCTGGTTTTTGTGGGGATTCTATTTTTTGCTCAAGGCCGGCGAGTGCGCGGTCCGTCGGCTTCCCTCTTTTTTTTTTTTTTTTTTTTTTTTTTTTTTTTTTTTTTTGATTGGCCGAAGGGTTACTGTTCCTTCGTCCATGTGCGGTAGTATGTCCGCTACGCTTTTCCGCGTGGATTAGTGCGAGGGAGTAAATACGCCCTCGGCTTGGTGTCAGTGGCTTCCTTTTTTGGCCTTTCCACGTCTATCGTCGACGAGGGACCGGACAAGGCATCGTCTTTTGACGGCCGCCCTTTGTGGTCCTGAGCGAAATTTTACTGACGGGTGGAGTTTTTGTAACCTCAGCCTTAATTCAGGCCTGTCGTCCTGCGGTTTCCACGCGGACGACGCGGTATGCTTCTCCGTTTGAAGACGTTGGACCATGCACACAGGTCCTTCGTCCTGCATATCGCCGGCCGATTTGGGTGTTTCACCGCTTGTGCCGATACGATATTTAGGTGCGTTTGTCTATGCAACGGCTTTGTAGGCGCGCTGTGGATCGCAACGGCCTTAGGTGCGTTGTTTATTGCAACGGCTTTAGGTGCGTCGTTTATTGCGACGGCTTTAGGTGCGTCGTTTATTGCGACGGCTTTAGGTGCGTTGTTTATTGCAACGGCTTTAGGTGCGTCGTTTATTGCGACGGTCTTTAGGTCGCATCGGACCCGGGTTATTGCACCACTTAGGCCGATGCGGTCCTTGGGTTTCCCTTTGCTCAAATCTTAAGAGATTGGATGAAACATGAATTTTATTCAATAAGTGGCGCTAGGCCGAGGGTGTTTTATTCAACCAATCAGCCGAGGGGTGGGGGACGTTGCCCGCTTCACCGCTTCTCGAGTCATTGGTAAAATTTCACCAGGTGGTGTACATTCCACAATCGTGGTACATCTGACCCATTAGGGTTCTTTAGTTTATAAGTGCCGGCTTTGATGACGGCGCTGACGATGTAGGGCCCTTCATATTTGACGGCGAGCTTTCCTCCTTCCGTCGGCTTGCTTGCTTCCCTTCGGCGGAGGACGTAGTCCCCTACCTGGAATTCGCGAGAGCGGACTTTGGCGTCGTAGTAGGATTTGACTTGTCGTCTGTAGTTCTCTGCCCGAAGGTAAGCCATCTCCCGCCTTTCATCAATGAGGTGCAAGTCAATCTTCATGGCCTCTTCATTGGCTTCGGGGTCGTATTGTGTGACCCGTCGGCTGGGGAGGGTGACTTCTGTGGGAGCCTTAGCTTCGAAGCCGTAGCACAAGGAGAATGGTGTCTCCCCGGTGGCCCTCCTTGGCGTAGTGCGGTAGGACCATAGGACGTTGGGGAGCTCGTCGACCCAACTTCCGCCTTCTTCTTCGAGTTTCTTCTTCAGCCCCTCTAAGATGGTTCTGTTGGCGTTCTCAACTTGCCCGTTGGCCTGAGGGTAGGCAACGGAGGAGAAACGGTGCTTGATACCCCATTCTTGGAGGAGGCTTTGGAATGGTTCGGCCTCAAACTGGGTGCCGTTGTCTGATATGATCTCCTGAGGCACGCCGAAGCGGGTGAGGATGTTCTTGTAGACGAACTTTCGACACCGCGCTCCGGTGATGCTTGCGAGTGGTTCGGCCTCGACCCATTTGGTGAAGTAGTCGATGGCGACGATGATGTATCTGTTGTTGCCCGCAGCTCTTGGTAGAGGGCCGACGAGGTCGATGCCCCATCTGGAGAATGGGATGGCAGTGCTGACCGGGGCGTAATTGACGGCCGGCCGACCAGGTGCCCTTTGGTAGTGTTGGCATGCGCTGCATTTGCGGGCGACCTCAGCACAATCACGCGCCATCGTCGGCCAGAAGTAGCCTTGGACGACGAGTCGGCGCGACATGCTGAAGGGCCCTTGATGTGATGAGCATACGCCGCAGTGGACTTCTTCCATGGCCACTTCGGCCTCATTCTGGTGTAGGCACCGGAGGAGGGTGCCGTTGTATGATCTCTTGTAGAGCTTGTCATCCTCAATGACATAGCTTGGAGCCCTGAGCTTGGCTAGTTTGGCCCTCTCCTCGTCTTCGGGTAATGTGCCGGAGGTGATGTAGGTTGCGATGTCGGTGATCCAATCCTCCGGCTGGTGTTGTATGGAGAGTATGGGGCTGGCGTGAATGCTTGACATGCTCAACTCCTCCACCTTCGCTATCTTGGAGATGTGCTCAGGGGTGTCGGAGCTGAGTTTGGAGAGTATGTCGGCCTCGGCGTTCTCCGCCCTTGGGATCTGAGTGATCTCGTAGGTATCGAACGCCTTGAGCAATTCCGCAGCGGCCTCCTTGTATTGCTTCATCCTCCCTTCTTTGGCCTCGTAGGAACCCTCCATCTGGCTCACTACGAGTTTGGAGTCGCATTTGATTCTGACGTGGCGTGCTTTAAGGCCAGCGGCTAGTCTTAGTCCGCTGAGGAGCGCTTCATACTCAGCCTCATTGTTGGATACCTTGAAGTTGAAGCGGATGGCGTAGTACGCTCTGAATCCTTCTGGTGAGATGAGGACGACGCCACCCCCGCATGCCTTGTTGGCCGATGACCCATCCGTGAAGAGGGTCCAGGCTTCATCTGGTTCACGGCCGGTGGTGGTGACGGCCGTCTCCCTCGCTGTGCATTCCGTGACAAAGTCAGCCAAGGCTTGCCCTTTGATAGATGGCCTCGGTTTGATCTCAATCTGGTACTGGCTCAGGAATATTGCCCATTTGATCATCCTTGGAGAGCTGGTCGGGCTCCTCATGAGGGCGCCCAACGGCTGATGCGTGAGGATGTGGACGGGGTGAGCTTGGAAATAGTGGCCCAGCTTCTTCACCGTGTGGACGATGGCCAGGACCGTCTTCTCAATGGGGGAGTACCTGAGCTCGGCCTCCCGCAGCGTCTTGCTGACGTAGAATATTGCCTTCTGTACCCCGTCATCCTCCCTGATGAGTACAGAGCTGACGGCCGACGTGCTTACTCCTAAGTAAAGGAAGAGAGTCTCGCCGGGTTGGGGCTTGGATAGGACGGGTGGGGAGGCGAGATATTGTTTCAGCTCCTCAAAGGCTTGCTGACACTCCGTCGTCCATTTGAAGCTGGTGGCCTTCCTCATTATCTGGAAGAAGGGGAGCGACTTCTCCGCGGATTTTGAGAGGAAACGGTTCAGGGCCGCGAGGCGTCCCGTCAGTCGTTGTACCTCCTTTATGTTGCGGGGTGGCTCCATGTTGATAATGGCTTGTATTTTCTCCGGGTTCACCTCGATGCCCCTTCGACTGACCAGGTACCCCAGGAATTTACCTCCCTGGACGCCGAAGGTGCACTTCTTTGGGTTGAGCCGGAGGTTGTATCTCTTCATGATCTCGAAGATGCCCCGGAGGTCGTCGGCATGGGTTGTGGATTGTTTGCTCTTGACGATCATATCGTCGACGTATGCTTCCATCGTCCGACCTAAGACTGCTCTAAAAATCCGGGCTACCATCCTTGTGTAGGTGGCGCCGGAGTTCTTGAGCCCAAAGGCCATGACGAGGTAGCAAAAAATTCCCTCCGGGGTCATGAAAGCAGTCTTCTCCGCGTCATCTTCATGCATGGATATCTGGTGGTACCCTCTGAACGCGTCGATGAACGACATCAACTCGCACCCCGCCGTCTCATCCACCAACTGATCAATGTTGGGGAGAGGGAATGGGTCCATTGGGCACGCCTTGTTCAGGTCAGTGTAATCAACACACATTCTGAACGTGGGCGGCTTTGGTGCGAGGACGACGTTCGCCAACCACGTGGGGTACTTCACCTCTTTTATGTGCCTGATGGAGAGCAGCATGGCCACCTCGGCCTTGACAAATTCCCTCCTGTCGGCTGAGAGGTAGCGCTTCTTCTGTTTGATGGGGGAGGAGGCCGGGTTCACCGATAGCCGATGTGTGATTACCTTTGGGCTGATGCCCGACATGTCCTCCGGTCCCCATGCGAAGACGACGGCGTACGCTCTCAGGACAGAGAGGACGTCCCTTCGGATCTGTTGGGGGAGCTGTGTCCCAATCTTCAGCGTGCGTTCCGGCCGGGAGACGTCCAACGGAACATCTTCCACGTCTCCGACCGGTTCGGCCTTTGGTGTGTCTTCTTCGGCCGAGGCGGTGGTGATGGTGTCTATCCGCTCCTCGGCTTCATTGATTTTCCTTGTGAGCTTCAGGTAACAAGCCCTGGCTATCTTCTGGTTCCCTCTGGCGTAGCCGACGCCGTCCTTGGTGGGGAACTTGAGGCATAAATGTCTCATGGAGATGATGGCCTCAAGGTCCTCCAAGGCCGGTCGTCCCCAAA